GAGCAGGACCGGCGCCACCAGGCTGAGGGAGGATGGTCACAGGCTGGAGCCCAGCCCTACAGCACAGCAACTTAGGGAGACCCTGCCTCAGAGTCTTAAAAGGGGTTAGAGATGTAGCTGTGTGCAAATGCCTTGGGTTCAGTCACCAGAAATAAAGGACAGAGCGAGAGTAGGAGGGAGGTACAGGGAAAGGAGGGGAATGGAAGTTATGGGTAGGGGCCTGGAGAAAACTGGATAGGCCTTTTCTCAAGCCTGGGAAAATCTTCCCCAAGGGACTATGGGAGCCATCAACTGGGTGCCCAGCAATCACAAGTTTGAACCCAGCCTGAGCAACTCGCATCTTAGTGAAAGCCAAGTCTCAAAATCAAACAAAGATTTTTAAGTGGCTGGGAGTGCAGGGCACTGCAAAGGCCTGCTTTCACACCCCAGCACTGAGGACTGGGGCTGGGAGCCACACCCTTGAATGGTGACACCGAGGACCATCATATCCGTGCATGCACCCCAAGCAGGTGGAGACTAAGGTCAGCTGAGGCCTGGCCTAAGCCATAGCCTTCTTCCTGTTCACATCTTTTCCTATGGGTAAAACTCAAATCACCAGATGAATTTAGGATGAAAGTGCTTTTGAGTGGTAGGTTATTTCCCCTCAGTTGGGGAAGAACTGAGTTGTTACTTTATCTTGAGAACATGAAGGTTATGGATTGCACCTCTTCGGTTTTATGAAGGGGAGACTTCCTCTGGTGTTTATGACCTGTTACTGGACTTCTGTGGTATGATGCACATCACGTTCTTGCCCATTGCTTACTCAATAATAAATGCTTTGCCTACTAGCTTTTGAAGAGGACTTCTAAGTTTACAGCAAGATTATTGTGATTACTATTATTTTTGTATTTCTCAAAAAAAGGCTAGAGACAAAGAATAAATGACAAATCACTTTGATGAATCTGTTTTTATCAAATCTAGATCCTTCTAGATGCCTGGAAAAAGTGAATATTCTTTAAGTTGTCTGTAGTAGGTGGATTTATTTTTGTAATAAATTTATGTGGCCCGGGGCCAGGCAGATAGCTCAGCAGAATAAGCGTTTGCCTGGCAAGCGCAAGGCCCTAAATTCAATCCCTGCTACCGCAAAAAAAAAAAAAAAAAAAAAAGAAAAAAGAAATTCACTTGGATTTTTATTCAGCTGTCTATTAAAGTACATGAACTTACTTTTAATCATCAAGCAATAATCCAAACTTCAAGTTCATGCCTAAGATGCTAACTGGGAACTCAGTGATATATGAGTTAACAAACCTCTATTTTTTAAGAAATAATACTTCAGGGAAATGCCCTGAAGAGAATAAAGTAAATCTTGTCTCCTTAATAACTTCACTTTACTCTTGCACAAAACCAGGGAGCAAGAGTGGCCCCAGAGCCAAGGCCTCCCCTCCCTTCTGGTCTGCAGAACAAAGGCTGAGGAAGAGGCCTACCTGGAAGACCCTCAGCCACAGCAGAGGTTCTGGGACTCACAGCACAACGAGTGGGCACAGCTTGTGTACCGCGAGGCGGAGTGCGTCCGCACCTGACGGCAGCCCACAGCGCCCTTCCCGTCGGAGCTGTAACCGTGACCACCCTGAAATAGTTATCAAAATCTGCAAAGCAAGGGAGCAAGAAGAGGAAACTCTGCCAGGTGTGTGCTGCATGGGCAGCTAGCTATGTTAGCAGCACATAAATCAGGTCAGAACCAAATGCATCTGCTCATGCTTTGGGAAATTAATTGACCATGTTGAAAAGAATACAGTCCTGGGCTTCAGGGAGCAGATGCCTGGAGCAGGGGTCTGTATCTCCTTCTTTACTATGACTGACAGCTCCTGCTTTAGAATAGTTGTCTGCACCAGATTCATAAGACATGGGAAATACAGTCGGAAATCATTGTGGTCAACTGAAATCAATTTTCTTCTATGTAGCTGCAGTCAGAAATCATTTGCCTCAGGCAGGGGATATGCTCTGCTTGAGTGGCATTAACTATTCACCTATTTGGAGAGCACTGCTTTGCGGTGGACAGGTGAAACCTATGAAAATAAGGCTCTCTGCAAATCAGTCCGCACACGCGACAGTCAGGCCTCAGCTGCTTCCTCAAGGGCAGTCAGCATCTCAGGCATGAACTTGTCCCCGAGGGCCTGCCTACTGCATCAAGAAGAAGGAAAGCACCCAGCCCGACAGCCCGCACGAGCGCAGGCCTCACGGGGAAGCTTCCAGGCCTGAGTAGAGGCCAGGGAAGCAGGAAGGATTAGATATGAGGCTCAGCTGAATTTCAACACGTAACAGATTTCTCAAAATTAGTGTAACACAAGGTAAAGTGACGTTTCGAGTCCATGCCACTGGGCAGGAGCATCTGCCCCCAACTGTGGTAGCTGAAAGCACTGGCAGAAACACCTTTAACTGACCCTCAGCTGACACTCTCTCTGCCCGTTCATTACGTAGCCGACATTAGTGATGGTAGCCCACCAGTGAAGCGCCACAGCTAAGGCGGCGCAGGAGCCACGAGGCCTCTGCCCCACTGGACTCCCAAGCCCCGGCAGGAGCGGAGCCTGGCACTGCGAGGTGACAGCCACCACCACAGGTGAGCGCTGCTCAGCCGGCACTGACACCACCAATGAGGGGAGAGACGCCACTGCTCTTCCGTGTTGTTTCTTTAAGAATCATGTCAGTGACAAAAGCAATGAGAGTACAAAATGGGGTAACCACGATCTGGCTGCATTTCAGTGAGCGGAGCTGATTGTAGAAGCCACTTATCCATAAACTTCATCTCTGGATGCAAGAAATGAAGGCAAACTGCTAGCCAGCGAGAGAAAGCCCCGGGAGCAGTCCAGGGTCAGCCAGCCCCCACCTCTGCGCCCTTCCAGGCCACAGCTGGGACGGTTCAGGACACGCGGGATGCGGGAGGCCTGAGACCAGAGCTGCTCCTCCAGCAAAGCCCCCTTTGCTTGGGTGAAGCTGTGCAGGTAAGCACAGATGGGGAAACACAAGGGCCAGCACCCCAGTCGGACACGTCGTAGTGAATTGTATGAAACTGCAACTTGTTCCAAAAATGGGCCAGTTTTACTAAGAAATAAAACAGCACCGCATCAACATTCAAAGAGGCCTTTTGCTTCTTCGTAATAGTACGAACAGTTCCTGTCTCTCACAAATGGTAAGCTTTAGCTTCTTTTACAGCATTTTTCCTATATTCCACACTCATTCAAAATAATTTTTTGGCAGTCTTACACATTACCTTAATTTTATGTTTTGTGTACAGAGCTTTGATAATTGAAGTAAAAAATTTCAAACAGCACACCCGCCCTACTCCCTGGTGAGCAGGACATCTTCTGCTCACAGCGTCAGCAGCTCTCAGCTCAGCATTTCTCACCAGAACTAAAAGTTTTTGTTGGGGCCGGGAGACAGCTAAGTGGAATAAGCGCTTCCCCGGCAAGTGCAAGGGCCTGAGTTCAATGCCCGGTTCTGCTCCCCCCCAAAAAAGCTTTTGTTATTTAAATAACCAACTGGTTCTTATCTTGTAAAAGCACTGCTGTTCTGTAGACACAGACTATGTGAACTTAGCCAAATTACTGTGTTTGAGAAAAACAAACTTGGTGGTTATTATTTTACATTCACCTAAAAAGTCCAGTATGTGTTCAACCATTTCCTTATTTTGGGATCTTTGTTGGTCAGGTTTTTCACTCTTATACAATTTGCCACCATTACACTGAAAGAGGTAGTACATATGAGAAAGAGTGAATAGCTTTAATACATAAAGAAAATTTTCGTGCTCAACAAACCATCACCATATAGGGAATTTACTAGCTAATTAAAAATAGTACCATTTCAATAGACAAATGCATGGCGTGATACAAAAATAGATAAAAATAAAGGCAAAAGAAAAATAAAAATACAGAATTTTTAAAATATGAATTAAAATAAAAAATAACTTCTTTTTCTCCATTTTGGTGCTGAGAATTAAAGCCAGGGCCTTTGCAATGAGCTGTATCCCCCGCCCCTTTTCACTCTGAGACACTGTCACCCTAAGCTGCCCACACTGGGCTCGAACTGCGATACTCCTGCCTCCGCCTCCCAGAGTGCTGGGATTTCAGGCACGTGCCACCACACTAGGCTATACTTCTCTATTAAATTGGCTAGTACAGCATTTTTAAACACGACAACACTGGCAGATGAGGAGCTATGCAGTGCTGTACCAAGCTCCGAGCCGCAGCAGGGGGTGCATTCCCGAGCGCTCCAGCTCCAGACCGCAAGGCTTGTGCTTCCGTGTGAGCCCTTCTAGCTCTGTGGCTTTCCACCAGACTGATCTGCCTCACCCCGTTTCCTCATCTGTAAAACTGTACAAGTGAGAATATTTAACATGTTTTTATGAAGAGTAAGTACATAACATTATTTCTAATATACAGTCCTGTCTCCCTAAGTCGGCAGTGGTAACGATCCATGTGTGAAGAACTCACAGGCAGAACCCTAGCGCCCAGGGTGGAGGGACTCCTGCAGCTGTCCCAGGGCCACGGGGCCTCTGGGTCTCCTGCATGTGCTCACTCAGAACCAATAATCCCAGCTCTGGGATCTTACCTTAATGACACATGGTCACAGACATCATGCACATGTGTCATATTTAGGTAGTGTCCCCAGAGAAAGCCACACTGGCCTTGTATGCTGGAAACTAACGTTCACAGAAATAGACGTCAGCTTACGAAAAATATGTACTCTATCCTAAATTGTGAAAAGTATGCCTTGAACAGGAAAATTCAAGGGTTTTTGAGTTTTATTATTTCTGTTTCTCTTTACTAAATTTATGCTTGCTTTCTCTAAATTCAGAGATGATGTCAACATTAAACACATTTCATTTGTTCACTTTTAAAATGAACGCACGAGCTACCTGCTCCCATCCTAAGAAAGTCCTTAAGTTTCACCTTCTCCTTGAGTTTTGTACTTTATCTGAAGGATGGAGAAGAAAATACTGCTCCTCTCTTTCGATGAACACAAACCTAGGTCATGCAGAGAACGGCCCTCCACGCATGCCTGACACTTACCTCTTGGGAATCAAGAGCTTCGTGTTCAGGAATCGCCACCATGGGACGACTCAGCTTCACAGGGAAGATGCCCAGGATGCCATCCAGAGGAGAAACGAGGAGAAGTAAATATTTAAATTTTACTTAAATAGATAATTATAATAATTCTATTACTAAGAAAGTATATTACTGCAGATAACACATGTAGATGCTACCAAGTGGAAATATGAACACAGCTGTCATTAAGAAACATGGAAGCTACTCTGCGCGACAGTGAGTTCTCTGAGCATAAAGCCGCACATCACCCACACTGTCACTCGTAAACTCTCACCAACTGGCCATCTTAACCTGGACAGCACACACTGTCATTAAACATTTATTTAGCGAATGGCCAAACACATTGCCAGGTTTCACGGAAAGCAAACTGAGCTAAGTTCATGTTCCTCCCTCATGCATCAGCCTCTAATCAAGATGTCCAGAGGAAAGCCAACAAACCCTACGCATCCCACTGCAGGCGCAGCTCTGTCCACAGATGCTGCGATTTTAAGAATGTAAAATGCTGTGCATCCTTGTAAATATTAGTACTACCACGCACGGGGACTCATAGATAACGCCATCTTACCAGGTGATGGAATTTATAATACAGTGCTTGACCCCTAACAGGAGGGAGCGTCATCTCTACGTGGGCATTTTTGTGCCTGCATGGGTCCTCGGAGCAATACATATGCACATAAAGCCGTCATCAATGTGCAGGACGGAGACAGCCTGAGGAGCAGAGGCAAGGAGAGAGCTACGAGCTGTGCTGGAGCCTGTTTGCTCTTTTTCCTTGCTCCAACTGTAGGGTCCCCACAAGATCAGACTGGCCAGAGCATGCTTTGCTTCTGCTACTTCCCTGGGAAAATTAGGGCCATGGAAAGGCTAGACCCCATTCCCTTTCAACAGGGTCGTGGGCTGGAGCAATTCCAGCGAGGCCAACAGTTCTGACTCCCCTGCACGAGGACTGCCGCTATGGCTGCGGGGGCACTAGAAGGTCCCTCTGCTGTTGCCTCAGATGTCCACGGCTGGAGCATGAAGTCATCGCTTCACTAAATCTCAGCTCTCACACTCTGCTCACAACTGCAAAGTCCTCTGGTATCACAGCATCCAGACGCCTTCCCGCCACCTAATGGCCACTGCTTTAAATACAAGCAGAGTCAACTAGAGACCTGAATGGCACTCCAGGAAGCAGCAGAAAGTGCCTTTCTCTGCCTCACAGGATCTCCTGAAAACCCAAGCTCAGCTTGAGTAGGATCAGACTCTGCACTGCCTCAAATGCCACAGCCAGCTCATTGGTCCTGGACACAGCAGTCTTTAAAAATTCTATTTTTTGGTGATACCAGAGATTGAACTCAGGACCTTGCACTTGCCAGGCAAGCACTTATTCCACTGAGCTATCTCCCCGGTTCTCGCAGTTGTTTCTAACAGACTGAGGTGACAATGGCATAATATTTATCTAAGTCAGCAGAGTTGGTGGAATATCAGTTTTATTCTTTTAATTTCTTAATCTTGAAAAAGAATTATCCCGATAGCTTTCGATGTTAGTAAAACCCTTAAAAATATGACACTGAATCAGTAAATGAGTCATTACATAATGTCTGCTTTTATTATAGTCCTTTCTGACATAAGTACTAAATGATTAAACACCATTTAATTTATAATCTTGAGTGATTATCCTAACCAACAAAGGAGAACAGGAAGTGATGGATTTTTAAATCATCTCTAAGCTCCAAATCACTTAGATTTGGCTTTAGGATGCTTTTTCCTATGTCAGATCCAGCACAGGAGGTCTGCCTCGCTACTGTGAACGCACTGAGAGGCGACAGGAATGTCTCGCGACCACGATAATTCATTAGGTTCCCATGTGACAAATGATTTACAAGCTTTTGTCCACAACAGCAGAGGAATACTTCTCTGCTTCACAGAGGAGGAAACAAAGACACCAAGAGATACAATAATTTACATAAGGTCCAGAGCTGCTACGCAGGCCGCCATGGCTGGAGTCTGCATAGCTTTGTGATATGCACGATGGCCCCAGGACTGGTGAAGCGGCTCAAAGAGCGCACAGAAGAATGGGTGGGGATGGCAGGCGACAGCGGAAGGGCACCCAGAGACCAGGACACGGTGGGGCGGGGGCAGGATGGGCCA